ATTTATTTGTTAAATTATTTCTTAGTCACTTTTTAACAGTTAAAAAAATCGTGATATTAATCGAGATGGACGATATAAAAAAATTAATTGTGATCTTTTTTTTTTTGCCATATTGTAAACAATGGTTGTACAAGAACTATATAATGGTAGCTGCAGTGCACTGACCTGTGTACATTATGGATGGTTGAATAGTATTAATTCTTACTACCTTAACCTTGTTGCTGCCCAGCCTTAAAGGCTGGTTTCATAAAAAACATGAAGGTGCTTTTAACAGCTGAAGTTCAAGCCTGACTGAAATCTTCAGACTATGGGACTGATTGTGTTAAACAGACAGGTTTTAAACTGTCGGACATCTTTGAATATTTATTCATTAATTATGTTATTCTTCCTCAGTCTACTCACTCTCTTCTCTGCCTCTCTTCTTATCATGTTTTCCCTTATTCCTCTCTGCTCTTTAACCTTTTCTTTCACAAATGCTCTAACTTCTTGCATCCGTCTTTTTAATAAATAAATGTCACAGCTAGGTCTGTCACGATAGTCAATAAATCAATTAATTATGTGATAAAATATTTTGAGGTTGATTAAAAACAGTGAGGACGATAATTTTTATTTGTCTGCTTGCTTGTTTACTTTCATCTCTTCCTCGACTGACCCCTCCCCCTTCTGTTTTCTTACAGTCGGAAGGAGTGAACTCTCGTGGTCTCGTACCTCTTTAACATGAAAGTCCATAGCAATAATTACAAAGGCTGGTTATCAGTGAAACCACAACATTTTTGTTGCAATCTAGCTGCTTGTTTACACATCACTGGTGATGGGAGTCACTGACACTGGCACTTTTTGAAACCAGGTCTCACCCCCACCGAGGTGAGAAGCATGCATGCTCAAACAGCCGGTGTGCAGCAAAAGTGTCTTCTAAGCTAACAACAATTACAATAAATTACAGACAATTAGAGAGTGTTTATAGTTTGTAGGGGAAAAACCACAGAAAATAATCCCAGGCTCAAAGGAACTTTAGTTTATTCCTCAGGTTCGGACATAATCTGTGATCGTGAAGCCACTGCATGAGTGAGAGCCACATCAGGGATGCCAAATAAAAATAAATAAATAAAAATGATATTTTTGCTGCTATTTTCCTGTGCATATTCTCACCAAACACAACACACACACTGTATCTTACAACACTCTCACTCAGCGTATATGACTGAGTCATATATATACAGCATATCTGCTCTTTTAACTCAAAATGTAATAATTTTAAAGGACATTTTATTATGTCCCATTAGGCAACCCTGCCTGGTATTCAAGTGCATTTTTTGTTAGAGCCCGAGGGTCCATTTTTTAAAACATTCTTTAAAAATTAAGGTTTATTGATATTTGAGAGGATGTACTGCATTATTACGCTATTATCATTATATTAGTTTTAAAATGGTCACCAAACAATATTATCGTTTATTCCAATAATTTCTGAGACAATTAATTGTCCAGCAAATTTTGTTATGGTGACAGGCCCAGTCACAGCTACAAATGGTAATATACAATACCTCTGTAATCTGGATGTTGGTTCTGAAGTCGATACATTTTACACAATACTAAGGACGTTCAAGTGATGTTTTTGGATGTTGGTTTTTCCATATTAAGTGTAAAGTTTTGTTGTTTGTGTTTGCAGGCATTTAAGCCTGTGGTGGGGAAGAACCTGTTGTCATCAGTTACTGCAGTAGAATTCTTGCTGGACCGACAACTGGACTTTCTCTCTGATCATACATCTTGTCAACAATACCAGGTAATTCCCAGGCCACACCCACTTCTCTCATGCACTGCGTCAGAATCTGCATCTGGGATAAAACATTAGTTAAATCTTTCACGTGAGTTCGTCCAGTGTGGCTAACCACGCAGAAGCTAAAAAAAGATGACAACAACAAAAAACAACTACTATGATTATAACTACTGCTGATAAAATACAGTATATTTCTATAGTATTATGAACCTACATGCGAAGCAGACGTCATATTGTTTTCGTACTGTTTGTTTTTTTTATTAATTATTTTTTTCCAGTGATTTTTGGTCAACTGTAGCACAAAAACAGCTGCACCAATCAACATGAAATGAGTCAGGACTGTAGATGAGTCTGACCTACACTGCACCAGCCAACGGTTTTATGATAGACCCCATATTTGAGGAGGGGGCTCCTTTCAAAGAGGGGGTGTCAGGACATACAAAAATACTTATAACTCAGAAACTGTTCAACATAGAAGCTTCAGATTTGTTTTGCTTTCAATCAGTGCCCCCACCCCCCAGACCCCCAATTTATCTGAAAAAGGGGTGTCTGTACAAACATAAATGGTTATAGCTCAAAAACTTTTAAACATAGGAGCTTCAGATTTTCTTCGGTTGTTTATCTCTGATGAGGTTTTATCCATCAGGTCAACCAATGCCCCCCCAAACCACTACAATTTTGGGATGCACCTAGTAGTAGTAGTAGTTCTGGTGCGTTTATGCGTGCGGGGGTCGTTATGTTACCGCTATGCAGTATCTAGTTTAACAGTTGTGTGATCAAAAAAAAAAAATCACTTAAACTGTGTCAAATAAAAATAAAAGCACAGCAACAGATAGATGACATGAGCTGAAACATATTTATTTGTTGCTATACTTCTTTCTTGATTTAATTTGATACTTGGTGATGCTTGAATTGAAAATTTTAAGTTCAAAAGTATTGAAATCCTGTTTTTTCCAACTACGACGTATTGCTAAGGTGAAGCCACACCTCCCAAACAAAGACCATGAGAAAGTGATTCATGCTGTCATTACATCTGGTTTGGATTATTGTAATTCTTTGTTGGTTTAGATAAATCTTCTCTGCATCGATTACAAGTTGTCCAAAACGCAGCAGCTCGTCTTTTAACAGGAACTAAAAAATATGAACACTTTTCCCTGGTTCTGGCTTCTCTCCATTGGCTTCCTGTTCATTTTAGATTAAATATTAAGATTTTATTGCTTAGTTTTAAAGCTTTAAAAGGTCTGGCCCCATCCTACCTGTGTGATCTCATTAACATCCACACTTCAGTCCAACCAGTTCCTGTTAGATGGTCCTGGATCCAGGCTAATGTTTAGAGGTGATCGGGTCTTTGCAGTTTCTGCCTCAAACCTTTGGAATGGTTTACCTCTCAGCATTCGCTGTGCAGAGACTGTTGAGACTTTTAAATCTCTGCTTAAAWCTCATTTTTACTCCCTGGCCTTTCATTCTGTTAGTGCATTATCTGTTATGAACTTGTGGAATGACTTTTTCTCTTTGTACGTATTTGTTTAAATATGAGACCAGTGTTAAAGGTCTTTTTTATAATTAATGAATCTTATTTAAAAAGATGGCAATTTGATAAATTGTTTTGTTTTAAGAAATATTTTAAGAAATATTAGTTTGCTAAGAGTTTATTTCAAATAGTGTAATTTTTGTCATTTAGTTTTCGTCTGGTTTATTTATGTTATGGTCTGACCCATTTTTGACCAGTCTTATATCCTGGCATGTTATTGGTTATCGGCTGTTAGGAGGAGAAAGTTATCTGTTATCATTTCTAAAAATAAGTTATCGTCCATCCTTAGTTTCAAAGTCATAAAAAAATCTACTACTATTATAATGTCAATGTCAATTTATTTATATAGCACATAAAAACAAAAGTTGACCAAAGTGCTTCACAATTCAGCCAAACGAATAAAACAACAAAGCAACACAGAAACACAATGAGATCAATTTAAAATAGAGAGAAAAAAACATTATCTTTAAAAGAATCTCAAACTCCAACACATATCAATCAAATATCTTTAAAAGCCATATCACCGTTACTAAAACTTTTTTATCGCAATGTGTGTTATTTAATTATTGTCCAGCCCTAGCTACACAATTTTGCAAGACAGAAACACACATAATCTAATCTGTTTAAAATCATATGATCTGGGGTCAAACTGTGGTTGGAAATAAAGAAAAGTTTATAGTTTGGACACGTCGGTGTGTTCTGCCCCTTCAGAACGAGAGACTTCACAGGTCAAATGACTCACAACCTTTTGAGTTCAACTTTTAAAAACAATTTAAATTCTCCTTCCTCTCACAAGATTCACACTTAAAGTTTGTTCATCAGTGTAAAAATGTTTGTCCTTTTTCAACCAGTGTATTTTAAAGGATGTAAGGTCTTATAAATCCTGTCAGACTGCAGAGTGCACTTAACAATATAAACTCTGCAAAAGTATTTAAAATTGATTTAATTGTTTGGCTCACAGGCCTTCCTGTGCAGGGTAACAGAACAGTGAGTGTGTCACCAGCACACTCACACTCGTGTTGAGTTTCAGCAAATGAACCTAGTGTTTGAAGATCTAAACAAAAGCATTGAAAAACTACCATCTGACTTTTATATCAGAAGAAAGCTCCTTATTGTGCATTATAGTAGTTCTTCTCTATCATTCTTCTTTAAATGATGCTCAGTTATAAGACTGTAGGAGAACAAAAGACCAATTCCCTTGGAGAAATACTGCAACTCAAAGCTCGTTTCAAAGCAGAATTGTCTAAAGATACAAACTTGTGGCTCCTTTAGTAGTTAAACCATGGCCATTTGGAGTTTTACAAGTGGAAAGCTTTGCAAATAAATAAATTAAATTTATTTAAACAGAGGTAATTTTTTCCCCTCTCTCTTTGGAGATGATTCAAAGCTAACTGGTGGTTTGGACAAACTGAAGACAGAGGGACAGAGTCACACTGCAAATGACCAAACTCATTACAAACTATACGAACCACAGGTTTGGTGTTTTTTGAAATTGTGACTTTAGAAAAAAGAAACTGTGGTTTACCTTGAAACTAGAAACCAGCTACAGTATGTGTAGCACAGGAACACAGTTTTCAGTGTGTTTTTTGTGTTGTATAAACTTTATGCACGTGGACTCTTCAGTTTAAGCCCAGGAGCTTGATGGTTCTGCATGGTGTGTCCCTACCAGGTTACAATAATGCATCATGTCATACATTTTAACAAGGCTTTGAAATATGTAGAAACCAATGCATATCCTTAGTCCCAGACAGCCTAAAGTCTACTTAGAAGTTTTTCCAGCCAGACTCACTGACTGATTCCTGCCCAGCCACCTACATCACCTGCTGTATACCAGTGGGTGCAACCATCTGACCTGAAGGAAGCAGGACTCCTCTCAGGCTTCCTCACATCATGGACTGCATGGAAGTACTTCCACTCACCCTCTTTACAGATTCCTTCACTTGTGAATCACTCACGCTTGCACAGAGCCGCCTATTCTTCAGCAGCCCTTTGAACGACACAGCTGTAAATAGACTTTCTCTCTCTCTCACTTCGAGCTGAGGCTCCATGACCACTCCCCTCTCTGTTTATCCAGTTGGACAGGAAAAACGGGGGGAGGAAGAGGGGGCTGGCCTTCAGTCTGTTTGGCATAAAGTGTACAAAGGAGTCCCTGTTAGGAAAGCCGGCTCAGTCTGTGTGTTTCTGTTGCTAGAAGGTTGTAGTGGGAGCTGAGAAGCAGGAGGCAGAAAATCCAAGTTCTTGTGCTGACTCAAGTGTTTGAGTAAATTCCAAACATATGTGCAAATTTAAACACAAAATTGTGCAACTAACCCTTTTTTATAACATTACAAACTTGTAAATCTTAAATCTACCTCAGTTAAATAAATTATTAATAATATTATTAAGTTATTATTATTATTATTAGTGTTATTATTAGTGTTGTTATTATTATTATTATTAGTGTTATTATTAGTGTTGTTATTATTATTATTATTATTATTATTATTGTTGTTATTATTATTAGTTATTGAATGTGTCAGTGTACTACAGCATTCATTCTTTACAGTAAATAATGAAGTCCTATCTTTATATTAATTCAGTCTGACTGTAAAAGAAATCAGTTTTCTACAGTAAGATCAGGATACCAGCCAAACTGAAAACTGTTCTCTTTAATTAAATTTATGTTTTTGTGTCTGACTGCAGAGCAAAGTTTAGTCAGGCTGAGAACAGATGCAGCGACCTCAGTCATTACCTAAAGGTGGTATGAACCAAACACTGCAATGTCCTCAGCAGTTTTGCATCATATCCTGTGACATTCATGTGTTTCAAAACCAGATGGTCCTTTAGAGGATTTCTTGTTGTGAAAACTCACAACACACCGTTGATCTGTTGTGGTGTAACACATCAGCCCAAGGTCCACAGCAGACAATATGAACCTCATTCTCCACACATTTGTTCATTTATGAAAACAAGTATTGGTTGGTAATATTTTTCATTTTATGCTGTCAAATTTTATTAATTCACCTTAATTATTCACTACTATTCTGCACTCATAAATTAAGTAAATAAGCTCAAATTTGGACTGTTGGTAAAGTATTCTGTTGGAACATTTCACCTTCCTTTCTTTAAATCAAAACACTAATGAAAATAGACCACCTTGGACTTTAGTGACCATGTTATCTTGACCTTTCAGAGCACATGCATCTGAGCAGATCATTTTAATTACAGTTACAATTGTAGTTCCAGTTGGAAAGTATCAGTTATTTTATGTTCGACCTACTTCAAATCAAGTTTGAACACAAAAATGCAGCAAACTTTTACAAACGTGCAGTATTGAAAACTCAGTGTGTGCTTGAAGGTCAGGGAGTACTCAGGTGCTGGATGTCTTCCCGTGGGTTGGCTGGTCATCTTCCAGTAGCCTGTCAGCTCTGCTTTTTGCTTTTTGTCATCTGGACTCATAACTGCCTTGCCCATTGTAATACCGATCAAAAAAGATCGTCAAAGTTAGTCAAATTTTTAACATATTGTGTCTTTTGAGGATAAAAATCACGTGGTGCCTCACACCAAAAACAGTTAAGACACAAGACCAAATAAATCACAGTAAACTAAAAGCTAAAATACAATCAGATGAACTGCAACTCAGATGCTAATCTGAAAAGACTTCAGAGGAAACAAATCAATCATGTATGTGAGCTTGTAGAACCCACATAAAACTCTGAGCAATTTGTGATTGAAATATTTCACAAAAAGTCATGTTTTATTTGTGACACACTGTGGTGTATCTAAGCTGTTATGACTGTGGTTATCTGTCATAGCTTGTAGGAGAGTCAGCTTTTTACAGCCATTAGCTGCACATGAAAAACCACTGCAGCATATTTGTTTTCTTTATGTACACAGACAGGCCCCCAGCTTGTTATTTTCATTAGTACTACTGGATTATTGGACAGGGGGGCGTGTTGTTTGTGGCGTTTTGAGTAATTTATAATTGACAGATACCACTGCTTGTGAGCATTTATGTGTACAGCCAGAGAGCAGCTGGGGGGAGGGACTCAGCTGTTGCTATCACTCTGAACATCAGAACACAGGAGAAGTTGTAGAATGGCTTTGACCCTTGTGTCCATCCGTCTGTTTTCTTCTGCTTATCTGGGGTCAGGTCTCGGGGGCATCAGCCTCAGCAGAGACCCAGACCTCCCTCTCTGCAGACACTTGGACCAGCTGCTCTGGGGGAATCCCAAGGTGTTCCCAGACCAGCTGAGAAACATGGTCCCTCCAGTGTGTCCTGGGTCTTCCTCTGGGTCTCCTCCCAGTGGGACGTGTCCAGAACACCTCACCAGGGAGGAGTCCAGGAGGCATCCTAACCAGATGAACCACCTCAACTGGCTCCTCTGGATGTGGAGGAGCAGCGGCTCTACTCTGAGTCCCTCCTGGATGACTGAGCTTCTCAGCCTATCTCTAAGGGAGAGCCCAGACACCCTGCAGAGGAAACTCATTTCAGCTGCTTGGATCTGTGATCTCCTTCTTTCAGTCAGCTCTCTCTTCACCACGACAGACCGGTACAACGCCATGAGGAAGTTCAGCTTAAAGACACGTCCCAGGGTGTTTCTGGTACCAAAAGGTGTTTCTGGTCCCAAAAGTTGTTTCTGGTCCCAAAAGGTGTTTCTGGTACCAAAAGGTGTTTCTGGTCCCCACCTGTCGTTTTGCTCCTCAGCATGGCTTCATAAAAACACTGCAGGATTTCTCAAACATGATGAATGAGTCAGAGCAAGGCTTTGGACATGTTTTTATGAGAGTATAACATTATAACATGATATAAAACTCAAAAAAGATGATTTTACATGATGTTGCCCCTTTAAGGTCACCAAAAAGGATCCCCTCAACACCGTGGCTGTGCCTGGAAATTCTGTCCATAAATGTTATAAACAGAATCAGTGACAAAGGACAACCTTGGCAGAGTCCAACTCTCACCAGAAACAAGTCTGACTTACTACCGGCAGTGCAGACCTAGCTCTGGCACTGGTCGTACAGGGACCTTATGTCAGACAGATTCAGACATGTCCAGTTATGTCTTTTTAGGGTTTTAAGTGTCTGACTCTTACCATGGTCGTATCCACGCATGCTTTTAGTGAGGAAAGTCTTTTCTGAAGGAGCTGAGGTGGTCAGAACATGTCAGTATTGTTACAGGAGGGTCTTCTGAAAGAGCCTTGAATGTTTGTCCCAGTTTTCATGACTGCCATGTGGAAATGTGGAGCTTCACCTCATGTGACACATTCAGTCATCATTTTTACATGTCGTCACCATGTTTTCATACCGCAGTATGACTGAATATTTTCATACCGTCCAAACTTGTACAAGTCAACATTTTTGCTTGTGAATAATTTATTTTGATCATATTTTACTCACAAACATTAAACTATTTACACTTTATGCTTGTTTAGTTTTTGACATTGCCAAACATAAACGTGTATGTATGATACACATACAGTAGGTATGTATATGTGTATGTATATGTGTATGTATGTATGTATGTATGTATGTATGTATGTATGTATGTATGCATGTACGTACGTACGTACATACGTACGTATGTATGTATGTATGTATGTATGTATGTATATATGTATGTGTATGTATGTATGTAATATAATTATATAATTAGATTATGCATAGGGCATCTCACAATGTTATCTAATAATAAAATAAAAGCATGGGACGTTGAAACTACATGAATGAAATTTTTCATGATGTTCTTTAAATTTTAATGGTACTTGAAAATCTTGTTTTCTCTCTTTGGCTACATTCACACTGCAGGCAAATGAGACACAAATTAGATTATTTTTGCCCCATGCAACACATATGTGATTTTTTTAGGATAGTCTGAATGCATCAAATCTGATTTTATTTTTAAATCTGACCCAGGCCTTCAGTATGTGGTATTGAATCAGATACATATCTGATGTTTTCAAGGTGACTGCAGTGTGAACGCTCATGTCACATTACAAGTTTTTCATCAGGAGGAGGGGCTGAAGGATCGATAAGACACTAACCTCAAGTCTCTCTGTTTAAATCTGYARCTCCRTGTGTTTACAGCTCCAAAACACAAGTCCAGTTGCTTCATCTTTTTACTTTTCATTTTCCATGTAGATGATATGATAGTAACGTTCAGCCTCAGTCGTGGACCGTATTGATCCTAAAGTTACTCAGTCAATACTTTGATTTCGCTCCTTGTTTTGTTTTAAAAATAAAAAGCTTCACCGGAGCATCCTGGTCAGAGGCAGGTTCAGATATAAACACTGAACTAAACAAAATGTCATATTCAATCGGCTCTGATTAAACAACTTCAGATTTGAGATGCTAAAAGTAGCATCAATGCTAGCTCTGTAAACACACAGCCAGCTCAAAGAGATGTCACGTCTTTTACTGTGCATGTGGGTCACATCAGGGAGGTGTAGCGTTCACACAGGAGTTTGATGCAGGTCCATCCATCCATCCATCCATTTTCTTCCGCCTATCCGGGGTCGGGTCGCGGGGGCAGCAGCTTCAGAAGGGAGGCCCAGACCTCCCTTTCC